ATAGTTGATGATACACCTGTATTTTACTGTAATATGCATAACTTTAAAAATATATTTATACATTTTTATAATTTATTAATTGCAAGATTCCAAAATTTCAGAAAACTGTGTTTCTATTCTCTTCACCCCACTTAGTGTGAGTATTTTTCTCTTTGTTACATATTGGATTATAGGAGTATTCCCCAGACTCTACTGGATGTTACAGAATCTGTGGCATATTATCTTTTATAAATCTGAAAAATTTTGAAATTCTCAAGGCACTTCCCCGATGCCACAGGTTTTAGCTATTAGGTGTATGTTATATTTTTGAGCTTTTATGTTTCAAAAATAAAGTGTTATTTGTTGTATTTTAATAATGTTTGCATAATATTTTCCTTAAAAATACAAGGGCAATATTCATCTGCCCTGTGACTCAGTGACTCTACTCATAAGTATTTCTCCAAGGTAAATGAAAACTTATTCACAAACAAGCCTTGTATGAGAATTTTCAGAGTGACTGTGTTCACGTATTAAAAAAGTGGAAACAATCAAATGTCTGTAGCAGAAGAGGTAAATTACACACTACTCAACCATTAAATGAACTATGGTGACATGCAGCAATATGGATGAGTCTGACAGCTGTTATAGTGAGGAAAAGAAATTGAAGACAAAAGATTATGCCTTCATTATCTGAACATCTAGTTGGGGCAGGTTAAATCAGATGGATGTAGGCCTTCAGATACAAGGAGAATTTCTGGGTTTGTGGAAATGTCCTGTGACACTATTTAGCCATAAAAAATAATAAGATCCTGTCATTTGCAACAGCATGGATGAAACTGGAAGTCATTATGTTAAGTGAAATAAGCCAGGCGCTGAAAGAATCTTCACATGTTCTTACTTTTTTGTGGGAGCTAAAAAAACTTCAGACAATTGAACTCATGGAGATAGAATGTAGAGTGATGGTTACCAGAGGCTGGGAAGAGTAGTTGGGAGGGTGGTTGGAATGGTCGATAGGTACAATAATATAGTTAGAATGAATAAAATCTAGTGTTCAATGACACAACAGCTTGACTGCAATCAATAGTTTATCATACATTTAAAAATAAGTGTAAGTGGATTGTTTATAATACCAAGAAATGGTAAATGCTTGAGGTGATGGATATCCCACTTACCCTGATATGATTAATATGCATTGTATGCCTGTTTCAAAATATCACATGTACCTTATAAATACATATACCTACTGTGTGCCCACAAAAACTTGAAAAAAAAAATCCTGATTGGATATTGCCCTTAAGATCTTGGGAGTCCACTGCATGTGAATTTTGCTTCGATTTTTAAAAATGATTCTCGAATATGAGGCAAGTACTTAGGGAATATAAGGCAAGTACTTAGGAAATCAGAAGTTACAAGATTCCAGATAATCACTTGAATTCAATATTACAAAATATGATTTTAATGACTCATGTTACAAATGTGAAAGTCAGTGTTCTGTCTCTGTAGGGGCACTCATTCCTGATTAAGGTTCTATAGGGTACTTTGTGAACTATCTGGAGTTGACATGTACACCTTCAGGATGCCCTGTTTGATCAGTTGTTATTTTTGAGAAAAAAGAGGTCAGATAAACTAACTGGTCTGAAGACTGGCTCATAGAAGTTCTAGAGCCTCTGGACTATAGAAGAAACTTAATTTTCTCATCAGAACTTATATTTGAAAAAGAGGTGACATACACTTTCAACAGTGTTTTGAGCAGGTACATGCTGCTAAACCTCATTGTCAAAACCAGGACAGTAAGGTTGAAATAACCAGTTTAATATGAAAGTAATTCTATAATGAACCATGTTGTCCCTTAAGACACATAGGATCATCTTCTGTGAAGAGAGTGGTGGGGAGTGGTCAGGACTTTAGGGTGAAGCCCATCTGGACTGAGACCACCTAGGATCAAATTCTAGCTCTGCTGACTACATCCTGTGCTTCTCTGGGAGGCATTAGTGTACCCTGCTATAATGTGGCTGTCCTCTGGTGTAATATACTGTCACCTCCAGTAATACCATATGGCAGGCTACACCAGGATCTCCTCATGAAGCCTATGCTGCTCTTATTTTTGTTCCTTTAGGGCGATCTCTCCTCTGTTTTCATTATCCTGCACCCTGCAAATTACACAAGTGTGCACACAGTGGTGTACGCAAGCATTTCTTCCATCATTTTTCTCTGTGACTTTCTCCCATGTTTGACACTCCATTGCCAGATAATGAATAGTTACTTTGTTATCCAAAAGGAGCAGTTCAATGCAAACATGTTTTCAAGCACCTGTTCCTTCTGCAGGAAACACTTCTTTCATCTTTGTTTCCTCCTTGATGGAATTAAATTTGCCCACTTATTTACTGATACTTTCAAACTTGTATCACTTCTTTCTCACTGTGGTAGATGACTGGAAGTAAACCTACTGCCCTTCTTTTTCTTTCTCTTTTTTTTTTTTAAATTTAGAGTATAATTTATAATACTTTTGGTATTTCATTTTTATATATAAATTAAATTTGAAACAACTTTCGATAAGTTTTAACTTTCAGATGACTAGTTTTAGCAAAGATGTTTAAGAAGTTTTATTATAATGGATTTAATTCTTCTCTTCCAAGGGTGGCTTACTTATTTTTTTGTTCATCTTTGTACAAGTTGATAGGATTAAAATTCCATAGGCATGCAAGTATCTAGTACCTGTAACTGCAAAGTAGGTTTTTAAAAATTTGGCAGTAGCATATAAAACATTGTCTTTTATGTTTCACTCATATTTTTCTTTAATTCTTGTGATTTACTGAAAGCTCACTCAGCAGTTCTGTTATTATATTACACCATTCACTGTTGTAATGCCAAAAATGGAATTTTGTGTACAGCTTTGATAGAAAGGAGCACTGAGAAGCTTGTCATGTGTCCTGGTTTTCCTTCCCCTTTTATGAATCAGAGAGGAACAAAACTATATCAGAAAATGTTTCATTGAGTTACTTTCATTGTAAATATCACGAAGTCATATAAAGTTATTAGGATTAAATAATACATAAAAGTAGAGGGCACTTAGTTCTATCTCTACACAGACTTTGATAGGTAGACCCTCATCTGCTTTATTTTGCTCTGGCTAAAGTTTATGGTGGACTTAAACATTTGGGATTTGGAAATAAAGACTTCTCATACCAGTCACTTAAAAGTTCTAGCAAATAACTTGGGAGTGGCTGTAGGAACACAGGTTAGGCAGTGGTAACAAAGAAATAAGCCCTATTCTCATGCATCTTTGGGAGTGGTGATAGGCAACAGACTATAATTTGAGGAAGAAACAGTTAACCTTGTCAGTAGGTTCTTGGAGATAAGAACTTTAAACAAAATGAGTATAATGAAACCTTTTTCCCCTCAGTGTTAAAATGAAAGGATGTTGAGAGCAGTGCATTATTTGAGGACCTACTGTCCATTGTTTCACTTAAAGTTAGTTTTGAAGAACATACCACATTAGTGAGGATCTGCTGTAATCTATGGATGGCCTTTGGAAAAGGAAGGTAGTATTTAGGTTGAAGTTTGTGGGGATGGGCATGCGTAGGATTTGGAAAGAAAGAGGGGCAGAAAAGTACACAAGGGAGCATTTAAGGATGGAAGAAGTGGGAGTGTGCACAGAAATGAGTGGTGCAGAGCAGTCTGATTTGACTTTACGATATTACTTACATACGTGTGAAAAGTAGTAGGTTAATGGACTTAACTTGAGAAGATTATTTTCGGACCAGAGATCATAGGCAGTTGAAGTCTTTTATATTTTTAGATAGTAAGAAACCATGAAAGTGTTTGAGACATGAGAATGTTAAGAAACATGAAGAAAATTGTGATTTGGGCACTTAATCTGATCTTTGTGTATAGATTGATTGGAAAAACAGACACCATTAGCAACATGCTTTAGTAGTTTGGGTGCTGTGCCAAAAAGTGACTAGAACAGTAAATGGAAAAGTGGAAGGAATTCAAGGTAAATGGAATGGCCAAAGATTTTGATGATTAAAGACTCTCCTGATTTACAGTTTTAGCATGGTTATTGTTAGTGCCCCTTTTTGATTTTAAATGTTTCCTGCTTTGGACAATATGGTGACCCTAAAGATAGATTGCTGTACCATTGATAGCACTTGCCAACCAGATTGAAAGAGGAGACGGGTATGGTGGCATAAGAGAGCTAAATAACACAGTTTTTATAACTTCTTAAAATTTCACTGAATTTTCCTGTTTTGAAGAATTAAGCATAAAATTTCCTTTCCTAAATTCTACAATCAAATCTTTATGTGTTTAAAATTCTGTGTGTGTATGTGTTTAATGAACACATCTGAGTTTTGGAGTATTCAGCAAAATGATAGATGCTGGCTGGGTGCAGTGGCTCACACTTGTAACCTTAGCACTTTGGGAGGCTGAGGCAGGAGGCTCACTTTAAGCCAGGAGTTCAAGACCAGCCTTGGCTACAAAACTAGGCCTTGTCTCTGCAAAAATTTAGCCAGGCATGGTGGCGCATGCCTTTAGTCCTGGCTACTTGGGAGGTTGCAGTGAAAGGATCTCTTGAACCTAGGAATTCAGTGGCAGTGAGCTAGGATCATGCCACTGTACTCCAGCCTGGGTAACAGAGCAAGACCCTATATCTAAACAAAATAAGATTAACGAAAATAATTTTAAAATGATAGATGCTGAAGAGAATATGGTATATTTAGTCTTGTCTCATATTTTCATTCATTTCGGTTTAAAAGCAAAGCTTTCTAGGAGAACTTTAATAAAGCAGTGTAGCTGACAGAAATTTTTCAGATAGATCAATATCCTGAATATCAACATGCCATCACTGAGGAAACAGGCTTCTTTGTGTTAGCACCTTTTGGTTCCCAATCATTTTTTCCCCTATTGAAACAGGTGACTATAGTCATATGATACTTAACTTTAAGGCTTATTTGTAGATATAGCTGTTATATTTGTGGACAGTCTCAAATGCTTTTATCTCGTGTGTTTTCCATGTGTAGGCAGAAGGAGAAGACAGCCTGAAGAAGATGCAGCTGATGGAGCTTGCAATTCTGAATGGTACCTACAGAGATGCCAACATTAAATCACGTAAGAATGAGCCCTGAGGCCCAGGGTTACCTCTGTCTCCGCTGTTTTGTCTACAAACTTTTTTCCTTTTTGGCAGCACAACGCAAGAACAGTTTATACAAAGTGAACAGTTGAAGTAATTCTGTCACTTGATATGGGACTGACAATCTTTATTTTTAATGCTTTCATGAATTGAGGACACCCTTGATTTTTTTTTTTTTATGCCAGCATGTTGAAGTTTTGAGTTTATAAACTTATTTTAATGAAATCTCAATCTCTAAATTCAGGAGTTTAAGAAAGTTTCTATTTGGTTAACTACAGATGTAAAGCTTCTAGCTTATCTTGTTAAATTTATGCAAAAGACAAAATTTTGAAAGCCTATATAAAAGGTGAATTTCAAGTCTATCTGAATGAAATGGCCCTCTGTGGAGTACTGGCCTTTCACTTTGCTTGCATGTTTTCCCTCCAGTATTTTTCCCTGTTGATTTCATATGTGAGTTCACAGAGATCAGTGGGTGATAATTCTTTTTCAGTCCTATTTTTCTTTTATATGTATCTGCATGTTTTTATAAACCATAAGAGGATAGCTTTTTTATGTTTAAAATGAAATAATGTGAAATTTATGTCTTGAAACAATTTAAGGTTCATACATGTCATTTATATGAACACATCATATTTAATTACTGATTATTTTTAAAAAACACATAAAATTTTAAAGTTCTAGCCAACTTTCCAAAATGCAGGCAACTTAGTGGGTTTAAAAGTAGTTACTTTACAAATTGTTTCTATTGATTTACTCATAAAAATATGAGTATATCTTTAATAGGAATTTAGAAATAGAGCTTGTTAATATTTTCTATGACGTTCCTACAGATGCTGGAAATTTACATATATGCCTAGTGATTACTTGACTAACTTAATGCAATAAAAATTATTCTTACTTTACTTTGAAACCAAAGGTGTACTTTAAATAGAAATATACCAAAACTGTTTCTGTGGACTCTCGTTACAAATTATTTTTTAACATCTGTTAGTGCAAGTGTTTCATTGTGCTTTTGCATGTACTTTAGTCTTAAGAAATCTTAAAAACATAGATACATCAAGTATATGAACTAAATATAACCTATTTAATGGTGTCCTTCATTTTTTTTACAATGGCTTTTTAATTTTTGCACATTCTTAATCACATTGGGAAAGGGAAAGCTGTTTGCATTTGATTGGTGTGCTTTGGCATTTTTGTGTGATCGGCGCATGTACTAATGATTTCCTTTTATTTTTCTTCTTTCCTGCTTTTTCCTTTCTTTTTCCTACTCCCCTCTCATTTTCCCATATTTTATACTGCTGTCTCTACACTTCTTTCTAAATTTCCTTGCTTACTGTAGCAGCCCTTGCCTTTTCTCTTGCAGCAACAGCCCAGGCTGCTCCAAGGATTATTACCGGGCCTGCGCCGGTTCTCCCACCAGCTGCCCTGCGTACTCCTACGCCAGCTGGCCCTACCATAATGCCTTTGATCAGACAAATACAGACCGCTGTCATGCCAAACGGAACTCCTCACCCAACTGCTGCAATAGTTCCTCCAGGGCCCGAAGCTGGCTTAATCTATACGCCCTATGAGTACCCTTACACATTGGCACCAGCTACATCAATCCTTGAGTATCCTATTGAACCTAGTGGTGTATTAGGTAAGTTCTTCTCCCCATGGGCTTAACAGCATTCTTCTTTATAAATATTTTTGCTCCCCCAGATTGTGAAATGATTTTATCAGTTTTGGAAAGGCAAGACAAGTTTCCATTAGGAAAGACTGAAAACTACATTTTGTTTTATTTCAGCCTCTCATAAGCATTCCCCTTTGAAATAATTGCACCTTAAATTTATTCAGGTCTACTTTGGTAACTCAGGTTCAGTTTGGTTGGGTAAATCTGTTGTGTACATTTTAACAGATACTTTTTATATTTGACATTACTGATGACATTCGGAGTTTTAGGTCCCACGCCATTGGCCTGTCACCTCCATCAACTCCACTTCTCACGGCCCAAACTTAGATTTATTTTGTTTCACAGATTTATGTAGTTGTTGGAAAAAGTTTAAACTTCCATTTGGTATTTTCAGATTTTTATAAAATCCGTATTATTGTATGTGTTCTGTAATATTTGCGATCACTTAAAATATGAAAGGGACCAGGTAAATACAGTCATGCATCGCTTAACAACAGGGATACAGTCTAAGAATTGCCTTGTCAGGCAGTTTCATCATTTGGTGTACATCATAGAGTGTACTTTCACAGACATAGTTGATAGAGTTTACTACACACTTAGGCTGTGTGGTATAGCCATTATAATCTTAGGTGACCACTACATGTGGTCCATCATTGACCAGATGTTGTTATGCAGCGCATGACTGTAGTTGCATTCATAAGATTTTTCATTTCTTGTCTTTTGAAGTCCTAGTCATATTAAACATGAGAGAGAACTCTTAATTTCAGTAGTACCATGTAGAATAGTTAAATAAATACCAAATCACTGAATTCAGAATCTTAAGGCAAAAATTATAATAATAATATAAACGCTTGGTTTTACGTGAATAAAAAGTGGTGTGCTTGAAAAAGACATTACTGATGCCTTTTTTTTATAGAGTGGATTGAAATGCCAGTCATGCCTGATATTTCAGCCCATTGACTTGCTGGATGAAGGACTAGAATACAGCAGCTGTTATAACACGACCAGTCAATGTGGAACAAACTGTTTCTGTGCAACCCCTTTGTTTTACCAGACAAAATTTGAATACCTTTTTTCCTGAATTGTATATGACCTTGGTGCTGCATGCATGCTGTTGACTTTTAGGACTTTGATTTTTTTAAGGTTTTTTTTTTCCCAGGATTAATATTGATTTATAAAAATTTGAAATCTTTAATGAACTGGAACACTAAGATTTAAACTAGAAAATTCATTGTTCAAGTAAAGAAAACCATGATGCTCTGTATGTTATCTGTGTGTGTGCATGCACTCAGGTGCCCTTTGTTTCATGAACAAATACATTTCATTGTACATGTTTTCCGTTTAAATCATTGTATAAAGTAATTGCAGGTCAGAATTATACCACAGAACTGTTTATGAGAGGGTTGTCTCTGTTGCACATTTCTTGAAGCATTTTTAAAATAACATGTAACCTGTAACCTTGTTTAAGTTTTCCTTTCTATTAATACTCTGTCCTGTGGTCCCGTGCATGCTCCTTTTCCCAGAACTCCTCTCTGCTGCACCCACAGCATCTGTTCCCGAGGAGTTATGACTCTTGACTTCCTGCAGGGCTGGGACTCTTATCACCAGCTACTGTTCCAGCACTTTCAATGCAAGATCTCCCTGATTTTGCCACATGGAATTGTACTTGTATTTGATTACCTTACCTAAAATGAATAAGGGGTGATGGACCAGTTTACTGCTTAGAAATAGCAAAAGGCACTGCAGTAAAGTTTGTTTCTCATTGTAAAGCTTCATGTCTTTTGTTTGTTGGAAAATTTTTACTTGTAAAAACTTAATTAGTAGCCTGGCAAAATAAAGACCAAAATGTGCATATCCCTAATTGGCATTCATAAGGCAAATAATAATAAGTGCCAAATGAAAAAATCTATTATGGTTAATTGTATTTCTTGCCTTGCCACCTAAGCAGTAAAACATGATATTGACCACTTGGAGAACTGAAAAAATTATTTTAAATTGCTAAGTTATAATAAATTTGCACACAGATAACATGCATGCTGTTTATGTCACGTCTCACATTAAATTATTTTAAAATAAGCAGTGCCCTTCAAAACAGATGCAGACATGTGTGTTGGTAGTAGTGAGGAGATTGGTATTAGCATCAAATCTTCATTGATGACTAATTTTTAATTCCCTTCCTTTTATCTTTAGGTATGGCTTTCCCAACGAAAGGCTAAGAATTCAAGAACGGTCTTAACTGAACCCTCATCAGATCTGAATTTAACAAATGCTTAGTCTCAGCAGCCTCCGGGGGAAAAAAGCTTAGCCTAGCAGTCAGTGACTTACTTGCACTTTTTGCACATAGATATAAAGTAAAATTATGTTATTAATTTGGTTTAGTCTGTAATATTACACAGTAATGGTAATTTATAAAGGAGTGTATAGTAGTATACTGACTGCTAAGTGTACTATACTGTTTGCTTTACTAATCACCTAATTCATTGCAGTTCATACTTATTGACTCAGAGTTTAAAACCACAATCTGTAGGCTTTAAGAATTGCTTTTAAACCTTTTTAAGTGATAAACTCTTGAAGTGGTCTTAAGGTTAGCAAATAATTGTCAGTATTAAACATGGCATTATTTAAGTAGTCCTGCTGCAAGAAAGGCACTTCAGTGAATATGTGACTAGTAAAGCTTAAATATGTTTGGATCTAATAGAGTTCATGAAATACTGTAACTTGGGGATTGTAAATGAATGGATAAAATAGGTTAAGGCCAAGATGTTTGAAATGAATGCAATATTAATAGATGCATATATACATGACATATTATGGTTAGTTTTAAAACTACTGTGCCTTAACGTGTTTCTTAAACTTTTGTAGTAAATGAACATTTGAAATCCATTTTGATAAACCTGCTGTTAATGTTTTTTCCCCCTCCCTTGTGAATGTTTTCTAACTTTGTCTTGGTAATTGCAATTTAACTAGGTGCGGTGGCTACTAAAGTTCGAAGGCACGATATGCGTGTCCATCCTTACCAAAGGATTGTGACCGCAGACCGAGGTTAGTTTAGTTCTGCAGTTCTTGTCTATAAGAAATGCGTTGGGTGTCCATAATTTGCAACACCACACCTGATGGAAAAACGTAATTGCTTACCTGCATACAGTTTCTTTTCCTTTTCTAAATTTGTTTATGATCATTGACAGATTTAAGGGTTGGGTTTTTTGTTTCGTTTTGTTTTTTTCTCCCTTCATATTTTAACTTATTAAATCTTCTATTATTATGTACTATGATTTATTCCTACTAAAACATGAATTAGTCAATTTGGGGAGCTATTAAATTTTGATGTTGCCTCAGTTATTTTCATTAATAACTTTTTCTAAAATTTACCTTTTAAAATTCCTGAAATTTGGGGATGGTATTGCAAAATGAATTGAATGGATGGTGCTTTAATGAGAGAAGAAAAGGATTATATGCCTCCTGTGTACTTATGGAGAAAACTGAAGATTTAGTTTCCATTTTTCTTTTATATTTGAGCCACTGTATAAACCTGAGGGTTCACATGTCAAGTACTTAGCTGAAATCAACAAAGTGAGGACTGTGAAGATAACTTTCATATAGTTGGATTTTTTTTTTAATAAATTAGAGCATCTATCCCCTTTTATTCTTATATTCTCTTGCCAAAATGGATCCTTTGATTTTTGTAATTTGCTGCTAAAATATATTATCTGAAGGTAAACTGTCTCTGTGGTGATACGAGATCCAGCTGTGTGAATACTCTTTTTGACTAACCTGTGACTGGAAAATAAGTCTTCATTTTTCTCCTTTACAACTTTTATAATTTGTTTCCTGTATATGCCCTTGGACCCTTTTATAAATTATTTTTGCTTATTGGGGAATGGTATTTTCGGTTTATTGACATTGAATTGTTTTCTAAGTTTTTCCATCTCAAAATAGGAATCTCAAGCATGGTAGTGAAAAAGTATTTTTTTTACAAGTTCCTATTATGGCACATTTGTTTCCTACAAATTAAATTGATCAAAGTCTCAAATTAATTAGTGGGGTGAAAGTGCTAGATTTTGTACTTCAGTTATGCATCTTCTATGAATTTATGAAGGACCTTCTGCCTCATGTGATTACCTTGAGTACTGATGATAAATACTAGACACAACCATTGTCCACATCAGAAATAAAATAACTTTCCAAAGACATTGTTGATATTTGTTAGCATAATCCACAATTAAAGAACCTCGAAGACTTTTAAACTAATGTATACGTCACTTACACTGATGATTCAGTGAACAAAATAGACCCCGGCTCTGTAGTCATCTATGAAGATGATAATTCCTTGTAAATGTTTTGTATGAGCGTATCTCATAAGGATGGGGAACGTTTTTGGAAAGCCACTGTCATTTTAAAGAAACTGAACAATTCTATGAATAATTTGAGGTTTTATTCATATTGCTAATGTCTACTGTTGTTCTAAAGAGTATTTTAAAGTAGTTATCCCCCCCCACCCCCAGCTAATCTTTCCCTATTTAGACTTCTCACCATTTTGCTTTAACACAATAATTATTGGCCTACTTAATACTCCACTGCCTTGAGATAGTTGGACCTATGTGAGGAAGATTTTATTGTACTTGGAAAATTGTGACACATTCCATGCATGGCTCTTTTATAGTTACATGTTTTGATTAGCCCTGTCACTGTTTTTATTTAAAATGCAATGTCAGCAAACCGAAATGCTCATTTCTTTTTTAATAACAGAATACTCATATGCTTATCACTGTATGCACTCACTGGGTCTAAGGGAGATGTCTGAAGTCCTTCACTTAAATTATTTTATGATACTACTGTTTTCTCTATTTTTGAGGTTAAAATTATTTTTAAAAAATATTTTGAAGAGAAGATTATTATCATTTAATGCAAAGAAACTCAGCCATTGGACATATAACCATGTAATTCTATTTGAATGTTTAGCGTACTACATGGTTGACCAATATCTAGTTCTTTACTTAAAGTAAACCCACCTCTTTATATATATTTCAAAACTGAATTTGAAGCCTGTTAGAGACCAACTGACTTTTTAGTTGTAATGAACCATAAGGTCTTGCATGGGTGACACACCTGTGTAGGAGGCCAAGACTTGGCAGAGGATGTGGTCTAGGTGTACTGGTATATAGAAATGGTCACTTGCTTTGTTTATATATTCCACATGCGAAAAAGAAATCAGAAAGTTTTCTGAATAATACAAAAACCATCACTTACATAATTTGTATAAGAAATTTAAAACAGTTTTAATTGAAAATTTAATATCAAAAATGCTTTAAGATTTTATATTTTGGAATACCTGTGAAGTAGTCAGACTACATCATGTTAAATATTTATTTTGTTCTATGATTTCGGAGCAGCAATTTTTATTTTTAAAAAATTCCACTTTTTAAGAAATTCAGGGAAGATTTGGTCACATCGAAGATACAGTATTTTTGTAGTATTTATAAACTGTTATAAATGATAGACTATAGAAAGCATTTTTGTCATATGAAGGTATCAGTCCATGATTTAGATCATTTAAACTCTGAACATCATTTAAACTCTGAAACTCTTCTGGGCTTTGATTTATGAAGTGGCACAGAATCTCACTTTGCACTGAATATCTTTTCATTCACATCTCCTCTGCCTTAGTCACAATGGCAACAGTACAGAAAATTCTATCAAACCTCAGAATATAGTAGAAATAATTAAGCTGTTGAATGAGTCTTAAAAATTATACTACTGTTAAGTGGACCAAGTTTGGTGAAGCAGAATGTGACAAAGGTTGATTAAGAAAGGAACAACTCAAGGACATTGGGAATGATAACTTTTCCACTTGAGAACTACTTTATGTTTTACTGTAATTTTTAAAAAATTTTTTGTCCTTTTTGTTATTTTGCAAAAGAAAATAGTATTTACAGGTGGCTTCTTTTAAAATATAAAAATATAAAGCAGGAATGTATATGAAATGTCAGATTTTATTGTATTTGCAGAGTATTAGCTTTGAAATTGAATAAAGAAAGCTGTTTGTAGTTTTACAATGCCTTATTGGTATCAATTAGAAATTTCTTCTATTTTTTGATGTACTTAGAGCTTTTTGAGTGTAGAATTTTAAATGGCAGGATTTTACAGTGTTTACATGCAAGTGCATTTTATAAGTGTTCTATATGTGTAAAATAGTATTTTCAACTGGAAAGTGTTGGCTAGTGCACAAGACCTGGCCATTTTCTGGTTCCCATGATGTTGCCTATACTGCTAGACTACAGTTTAGTATTGCTTTGTATCATGAGGCCAAGAAATTCCATGTTGTTTGTAAATAGAATAATTGAAAAAGCAATAAACATTTATTGAACAAAAGAAACTTGTTTGGCCCAGAGTTTATGTTGAACCAAATTGTTCATAGAATTTTTAATTTCTTTAGATTCATTTCTGTTAATCATCAGTTATTAATAATCACATCCATCATTAATAGTTGCTTTAATGCTTGCATCTGAGAGAATACTAATGCTTAATAGCAGTCAGATACTGATAACTGCACTGACTGTTTAAAAATTCTGTATATCAAACCTATTCATTGTTGTTTTTCAGTTTCCTTCATTGACTGCTACTAACTATTAGTTGTTAGTTGTATTTTATTTCTATTTTTTCTTGTTAACCAGTTTTTTGTTTTGTTTTGTTTTTGGTGGGAGTGGGCTCTTCTTCATTTGTTCAAATCATGATATGAAATTGTCATGATTTTAATTGTATTCTGTAGATGGTGTCAGTTTGTCAGAATTAAACATGCTTTTTTTTTATTAGTTGTGATTAGTTTTTCATGTTGTCATTAAGCCGTCACTAGCTGAAACTAATCTCTTCTCTATCTTTTCTTTTCTTTTTTTGTTTTGTTTTTTTTTTTGTTTCTAACCACCCAGCCGCCACCGGCAACTAACCTATGACCTTCTGACCTCTGAACTCTTCACCCAATGATGACCTGACCATGCCTGCCTGCTGATCAGTTAACTGGTAATCGCCTTTGCTTGCCTGTCGTCAGTGCAGCAAGCTGAGGCACTTGTCCGTTCGTCTTACCATCTAACCAAACAAAAGACAAAGAAATTGTTGTCCTCCAACTCAGCATTTTTTTTTTTTTTTTTTTTTTCCTGTTTGGGTGAAAGTGGTTCTAGAACCTGCACTGAATAGTAGTAAAGCAATAAGGCCCAATTCATCCCACAGCACTGATCATCTTCTAATATCCCACCCTAAGCGAACGGTAAGAAGGCCTCTCTTAAGAAGGGGAGACAGATGGCCCTTAACTACTCAATGACAGAGGCAGTTACTGTGAGAGACTTCTAGGAATCTTTTTCTTCTCGTAGTGAAGTTAAAGCTCTCTCTGAATGTACTGTGTGATGATGCATCATGCATGAACCTTCGGTCAGGGATGTCATTGGTGAAGTGATTTCAAAAAGTATTCAAAATTTGATATGCTGTTTAGTCACTACAGTGCCCTCAAAGGGCAGAAGTTGCAGCCTTTTTTATATTGCCTGCCAAAATTTGAAGTTAGAGGAAAGTGTGCCATGAGAGGAGAAACTTAAGGAGTTTTGAAAAGTAATGCAAATAACAAAACTGCAACACTATTTTTAAAAAGATAAATATCTGAGTTAAAATTACTGAATCTTTATTTTACACCTTCTAAAAAATATATGAGAACAAGGTACATGCATTATGTGTCACATTACTGGGCAAACTGTTCAAGTATTTTTTTTTTAAACCTCCCTGTATAGAAAAAAATCATTAAGGATGTAAAAGCCATGCTTGCCTATTTGCTGTATACATGTAATGAAATTGTAGATAAAGTGTAGTGCATTGAAACAAATGAACAAAAAAGTAGATACTTTTACTATACAAGGGTGCTGGTGCAGAAAAAAATATATATATTTTTGGAAATGTAGCATTTTATACTTTCAAGTGTTATAAAAAAAAAAAAGAAAAAGAACAAAGAAACCCTTTATTTCATTAAATGATTTTTTCTGGTGGTTGTCAAGAAACAAAAGACCAAAAGAGCCTTTTTGTCTTTCTTTTTTATTTTTTAAGTATTGGAATAAGTCTAAAGAAAAGAAAGTGCCTTATTTTCCTTCATGGTCATTTAGTCAAGTGTCTCATAAAGATCAGCTCCTCCCTCAGAATACAAGTTAATGCATGTTACTCAGTCGCCCAGTATGTGAAAGACGATGTGAGGGAGACAAATGAGTTGATGGTTTGAATCATACGATTTTTGCCACATTACCTTGATGCAAACTTGCCAAATCTGATACTGTGAAAGATTTGATAATTTTTCTAATGCCTAACTAGCAAGTTTTAAAACCTTTAAAAAAATTATAATTGAATACTTTTGGTTATTCCAGTCTTCAATGATAACCCAAAGGACTCTGAGATAAAAATTATGTGTAACCTGAACTTCAGACAAAATTAGAGCTTTGTTTTATTTGGAGAAGGGGGATGCATTCATTCTGTTTTGTTTTTTATTTCGTTTTTAATTAATTGGAGATAATAGGATCCCTAGTAAATGTTTTCACGAAAGTGACTCTTTGTGATTTTCATTCTGGAAAACAATGTTTTAAATAACCCAAATGTAACCACATGTCTTTATATCATACCAGATAACTTGTGTAATGCATCTCTTTAAGGTTTCAGTAACCTCTGCCTCCCCCACCCTTTAAGTTTTAAAGAATGTGAAAAACTAGCATCATAGTGCATATAATACTCAACCACATTTCAGCTTAAGCTTCTAATTTCTCCAGAAGTTCAAACAGTTATGTAGTTCAAGCAATTTGTGCGCAAAGCCTGCATCTAAACATTTGAGTGAATAATCATTAACTGCTCAGTACCAGATGTGGCAAATCTCAAGTGATGGTGGACTCCCCTCCAGCTTATCAACTCGTCCCCTCTTCCACACCTTCCCAGCGTCACAGAGGTCAGCAGGAAGCTTAGTCAGTACCTTCTTGGCGACCTCCCCCGCCATCTTGTCTCACTTGGAAACCGTTGTCAGTTTATTTACTATGCAATAGACATTCATTGTTTTGTATCCAGCTAGCTTTGGTTTAATATGCCACTGCTTTGTCTTTCTGTTACACATGCAGTTTTGATTTATTTACAGTATATGCTGTGCCATTTTGATTTTTATATTGTTTGGTTGGTTGAGTCAATTTGCGACACTCAAACACTTGAGGTGATAGTTATTAAAAACAATACCAGTATTTGATCCAGTTTCATCTCAACTATGTTATACCTGGACATTTTAGATGTTTATCAAAGGTCTTTTATGGGGAAGAAAGTAAATGTATGAAATAATAAATGTGTGACATTTATGGGTAATGTTGGCTCTGAGCAAACTTTTGAAAACTTGGTTGACAAAATTTTGGATCAACTGAAAAAAAAGCATGACTTTTGAAATCTCTGAATGCCTTGGTTCTCAGTATTATCATTCTTTATTGAATTTATTTCTTATTAAAATATGTAGTTTTTAAGACTTTTTTTCTGACAGTATTATGTAATTTTTTAGCGTGGGTAGATGGGAGTGTCGCTTGTATGTTATCGTACAGCTGACATGTATTTTTGTCTATTCTTTATTATCTTAGTAGTTTCATGCTATGTATGTACCATAACCAACCTATTGCCTATGAGAAACATGTAAGATAATGTATTTACAGCCATTGTTACAAGTTTATAATGTATTTTTCTATCTTGTTTTATATGTATGTTATATAACATTCAAAAAGAATTTTTTTCTTGATTGAGAAAAGGATACAAAATGCAAAATCCACAATTTTGATAACTGAAAATTGCCAATTGTTTTGCAGTACTTTATTATATTGGGTGTCTTGTCTTTTTTGGGCTTTTAGTTAGCTAATGAATGAATACATTAGACACTTTGGGTTTTAGTTGGGATTTTACATAGCTTGCATTTTAATTCTTTGGTTCTTTGCTGTTTCTATTAACCCATAGCATTATTTTAATAAATGTTATAATACCAACCTACTAACTCTGGACTATGTCTGTTTATTAACCTTTATATGTTTAATTAAAATAAATAAAGACAAAAGAATGTAAAGTCTTGAGTTACTGGACTAACCCTGAAGAACGTGACCACAGATAACATAGCGTGACTTGTTTTTATGTTGTTTGTCAGCTGACAATTCCGCACACTACTCTTAAAATGGCTTTGATTATTCTGGTCTTTACCTGGTGTGGAGGGAAGGTAGGTGCCATAGAGATGGGAACAAAGTAGCCTTTGTTTGAGGCAGTCTTCTGCTCTTGCCACTTGCCTTTTAGCATCTGCATTACTAATTCCACACCTTATTTTTCCTTCTCCTAAATAATCACTGTCTGCTCACAGCATCAAGAGTAAAAAGATACATTGTAATGGTATATACCTGGAGAAACCAGTTTGATTCTTTGTTGAACCATTTCTTTTAATTTCTGTAAGTAATTTTATGGTCACATTGTAAAGCAGAGAAACTGTTGATATTTTGCCTTTATTTAGGTTTTTCTTTTAACTTGACCTTTTTCCTTTGGAAAGCATTGAACTTGTTTAGCTAACTGCTCCTATTAAGGGGCTCAACTTGGGTGAAGCCAAAGGCTCCCTGGCTGTCTTTCTTGGTGGCCCGGCGTCCCAGAGCTCCACCACTTTCCAGTGAGGTAAAGAACCCTCAGCACATTATTGAGTTTTCCTCAGGTGTTTTTTTCTCTGTCTCCTACTTTCCCTGAAACATTAAACAAGAAATTTAAGAGGGAAGGACTATGGAATTGGAAAAGTTATGTATGATTAATTTCTTGCATGCATATCAGTTTAAGGTTTCTTAAATATCTTCATGCTTTTCTTGGCTGAAACTTCGGCAGATTAACCTGTAATTATGAATTCTTTAACTCAAGGTGCATTTTTATTTCACAGATTGGTACTTGCTTTTTTCTGTGAACAATTCTCTTAGATAAAATTCTCAGGATGAATTTTTTGCATTTGTAAATAACGATGTATCTTTGTAAATTACATTTTATTTATTTAGAGTTCTAAAATGTGCGGCTTAAATGCATCACATATAATAGAAGACAAAACTATACCAATATGCTCTTAACCAACCAAACTGTCAAGATATTCTCATTTCATCAATATATATACACACATACACGTATAGATAATATACGGAGTAATGATAGCTGATCTGAGTGATAACAGCTAATCACCATTGAGATGGTCATTTGGATCATGTAAACAAACCTGGTCATTTCTCTAATGGGAGCGGTGGGCAGTGTGCTGTTTGTTGTTAGATAGACAGGTCTTTAGCATGCTACTATTTGTACAAGTTTTCCTTGCCATACAGTTCATGTGCT